TTTTCCATAAAATAGTTGGCTATCACTGGACTAAGAGGGCTGCCCATTGCTACTCCATCCGTCTGCTCAAAGAATTCGCTGTTCCACTGAAAGTACTGCTCGGACAGCAGACCCAGCCGTGTGTGCTGCCTCATCGCCTTTGATAATGTCCACCGCAGTTGTGGACGAAACGTCAGGAAGAAATTCCCGGCTTCGAAACCCGGAAAACATTCCTAAATGTGATTTAACCGGCCGTGAAAGCCTTCATAGTCTGATAATGTGGTAAATGTCCGATATAACACGTAACAAACACACATATTTATTGATGGTACACATACATATATACAAACAACACGTTGTTTAAAAAAAAATCTATTTAGATTTGTCTTACATTACGCGTTACCTAACTAAAATCTTCTAATTCGGTATATTACTGATTTTTCTGTTCTTACAGAAAGTACGTCATAATAAGGCAACTTCTTTCATATTCTTACTCGAACCTATAATCGTCCCTAAAACGCGTGGTCATCACGGATGGCTGTGCAGTTTGTGCGCGATTTTTCGACTGACTCAATATTTTCGTGAATATGTCTAACGGTGAAACGTCAACACGAGATTTACTGCAACTCGTTAAGATTAATACAAGGTGTACAACTAAGTTAACAATAATATACTGAACTCTCAGATGAAAAAATCTGACTGCGTTAGTCTTCATGGTCTTTGAGCAACTAGCATCCGTTTTAACAATAAACTCGATACTAAAGTGGCACCAATCCATTTCGAGTAGTAGGATTTCTCGCCATATAGATGTCCATATCGTGATCAGTCCAGTTGTCCGAATTGTCACAGTAATTGTTCAAAGTGTGTGTGGAACCGGCAGTACTGAATCGGCTGCTGGGTCTATGGTCCCTTGATCTAGACCGTGGTCTAGATCGATGTGTTGAAGAGGCGATTGAGTGGGCGGGACCCTGGTGTGAAGGCATGCGAACAGACATGCGTTCAGACTGCATGGTCAGTGATTGTCTGGACTGTCGTAAATCTACAGACATATCGCAATAGAAATCAGCTTCTTACGGTTAACACTTATATTTACCTTGTCTGGACGCCAATAAATTATTCGGGAACGCATTGGCCGTTAAATACCGACCTGAATGATTTGAAAAACTGTTTTGTGATTGACCGTCTGCAACCGATCTAGCTTTACTCTTAGCGTTGAAATGGCCCCGAAGTTCATCTAAGGAAGGCGGTTGCTCCACTGTGTACATGCGTGGTCTTTGACTATGCGTGCTGTAGGCTGAGACTTGGTCCCAATCCTGAGGACAGTTACATTACAGAAATGTCTGATGTGCATTTCGAGACTCGTTCTACCTTGTTATTGTTGTAAGCGCTTAGATTGGCCAAGGAGGACAGGGGCTCCATTGGATTTGGTGGTAAAGTGCAGCAGTTCACTGGCAGGCCTGCGATCGGCAGCCCATGTTTCAATCCGTTAATTTTTTGCTGATGAAACTCCTGGAGTTTTCGAGATCGTCTTCGGGATGCCGCTAAAAAGGTGATACTATTGTTAAAAAAAATGCTATACAAACAATCATTCATTCTGTGTACCTACCGATAAACACAATCACAGCTACCACAATAGTACCACAAATGGCTGCACTAGCCGCTATTGTAATTTTGTCCATGTTAGAGGAAGCAGAAGACACTGTCCTGACCTCCTTGCATTGTCGGTGGGGAACGTTTTCGGGAGTAACGCTGAGCTCCTCCAAAGAGACTACGCAGACTACGATGCACTCCTGGAAAACGTATGCTGTAAACTAGCCTAGAGCTGATAAAGGTTACTTACTTGCGAAGGTACACTTTTGATCTTAAACTCTCGCTCACTTGCATCCAATGGCGGTCCTTGCTTAAAGCTCTTGTCCCCAAACAATCGGTACACTACCCGAAATCCCAAAATGTTTGCTGTTTCAGAGCCCCATTGAATGATGACTGAATTGTCCTGCCTAAAGGCGTTCTTTACAATGACTTCCTTATTTTCGTCTGATTTTCTGGACGGAAACCCTGCCATCACAAGCGGTGGTTTTTGCGTGGATTTCCAAGTTGGTGAGGGCTTCGGTTTCCTGGTGGTTGCCACGCTCGACGTTGCTGATGAAGTTGATTTGGTAACCGACGTCGTCACGGTGGTCTTGCTGGTCGTACTGCTGGGCTTTTTGGTCGTTGTTGAACTAGAAGCGTTTTGTTGAGGTATAACCAGATCATCTAAATTGGCAGTAACTACTGTGGCCACTCCTATGGGCTTACTCGCCTCATTGCTGCAAGAGAGCTCGTTCAGTTCGATGCTATAAAAATTTCGATCTCGAAATTTGGGTGGACTTCCGCAAAACTGCGGATTTCTCTCCCTAGACGTGACCTGAAGATCGCCTTTCATAATCCACTCAATAATCCAGGACATCCTACAGTCACAATGGAGAAATCTGCCTCCAAGACTCAGTCCTCTCATTGTATTGTTTAAATGCGACAGAGCCTCAAAAGGTATGGTTGTTAGTGGGTTGCCGTCTAAAGCCAGCAAAGTAATGCTCGGGTTGCCCTTGAGAGCCGCCACAGGTATTTCAGTGAGCAAATTAAAACCAATATCCAGAACCCGCAGTTCGTTTAAGCTTTGCATGGCGGCAATGGGAAAGTCGGACAGTAGATTGTTCAATAAGCTCAGTGAGCTCAAAGTCGATTTGATCCCTTCAAATGCATTTGCTTTAAGTTCTTGCAAAAGGTTCCTTTCGAGATTCAACGCTGTTAAAGCGTTTAGGCCCGCGAAGGCGTCGTCACCATCAACTCCCGGTAATTCTCTGAGGCTGTTTTGAGATAGATCTAAAAAAGCTAACGTGGTCAAGCCTTGAATTGCACGAGGCACTCTGTTCTGCCTGGTGCCCTTTAAATTCAAATTTTTTAAGGTCTTTTCTAACCCTCGCAAGGCTTCGTTTTCAAGTGTTACATTGTTGTCTGACAGTTTCAACGTAGTCAGCTTCAATAAGCTTTCGAATGCAGACTGCGGAACATTCGTTATTCTATTATGGGACAAGTCTAGCAACTGCAGGTTTTCCAGCGGTTTTAGACTCATCACTGGCACTTCGGTTAACTCGTTGTCTTGTAAATTTAAATTCTTTAGGTATCGTACTTGACCGTTAAATGCGTCACTTTCTATAGTGCGAATGCGACAGCCGGACAACTGAATATTGTGAATCTTCAGATTCTGAATTATGTTATCTTGTAAAATTCCCACAGTGGAATTATTCACGTAGAGAAGGTCTAAGGCCGTTTGCGTGGCATACTTGTTCAGGGCGGACATCAGTTTCGTCCAGTTAACCATGTCGCATTGGACGGACAGTTCTCGTCCCAAATTATACGAACATATGCAGGAGGATTGCAATTCGGGCACCTCGCGCTGCCATGGACACTGCCCTGCCGCTAGGCTGACTAAAAGTGTCCATGTGAACCAGTGAATTGCTACAGGATTATGCATAGCCTGGAATTAAAATTACTATCATATTCGACTATTTGTAACATTATTGATCAATTATTAGTCAGTTCGATATGGTTTAAATGCAGTTGCCTGCCGGTGGCGCGCACTTCTTTTGGAGAACTTTTGGGACCAACATTAAATTCTATCGATCGGCGATTTATCAATGAAAAACAGGTGGTAGGGATAAAGTAGGTACCGATCAAAGAGTAGAATTAATCGGAAAATCAACTGGCCTGGCGTAGTGAAAATCTGTAATAATCGATTTATTCTAAGCATGAAAGATTCATTCATTTTCTTACATTTATCTCAAATTATATGTTTGCAGTTATAAACGCTGTAGTAGTAACGCAAATTTGTTAAGCATTTGATGGCGATTCATGTATGTAGAAAAAATACAGTCTTCTGTTGTCTATGAAATTAGAAAAATTATCGTCGTTTTGTGCAAGGGTGGCGTAAGATTATTGCAAAATTTCA